TCCAAACCCCCCCCCCCCCCCCCCCCCCCCCCCCCCAAAAAAAATAAACAACCAAAAAAACTAAATTTGAGAACCTGCAGAAAATGAACACCTGCCCCACACCGTCTTCTTTGGAAAAGCTGGATATTTTGCAGTACCTCCTGAAGGTAAACTGCCTTAATAGGGCTAAAAAACAGGAGTAGTGGGAAATACGAAAGGTCTTCAGATGTTCTCTACTGAAAATACTTTACAAATGACTGGACACCATGCATCCAAACTGATCTCAACTGCTAGCTTAAAATAAGAGTCAAAAGACTTATCACATGTTAAGAAAATTGGTTAGTTCCTGTAACAATATCAAATGTCTGTTTTAGCAGGTGATTAGGTGAAACAATTGAAATTTAAAACACCCATATAGTTCATTATTTGTAGTCCCTGAAGTGCCATAGATTGCATGGCATACATATAGAACAGATTAAGGCAGCCCCTGCTCTGAGAACTGTTCAGTCCAGGGCCTCAGCCCACAAGTCCTTTAACATAGTAACCCTTGTTGGTCTTCCATGGTGGCGGACATAATACAAATATTAGGCAGAAGGTGCCAAAAAAGGACTAGTTTTAACTATCTTAAAAAATATCTCATTACTTTTCCATCAAAGAACCTAACACATGATGATGGTACGGTTCCTGAGTGTTTGGCTGATGTTGTCTGTGCAACTTGCTATCCTTCACAGAAAGGGAGAATAAGGGAGGGAATTAATTACATTACCAGCATAGTTACCTATAGGCTTGTTCTGCCTGCTTTTGATGGCTCTGTGATGTATGAAATTTAAAATAATGTGCTCAGGTAGAAAACTTTCTTCATAACTCCATTGCTTCCCTATTTCCTGAAATGTGAGGATTTATACCACTCTAAAAACTGCTTTGGGTAGGGGTTATAACTGTAGATGGTCTTCCTTCATATAAATGCCCAGTCCTTTTCCTGAATTTTGCTAAGCCTTGTGCCTCAAATATTCCTTGTAGCAGTAAATTCCACAGGTTTTGATGTTGTGGCAAATATCTTTATATCTGTTTTCTCTTGGTCTCACAGAATTTTCCTTTGTGGTATTTGAAAGAGTAGGCATGAATACCAGCATGTGGTACTTTTAACAAGAAAGTTTTCAATTATTATAGTTAATGTTTTTCCACCTGGAATGTGTAAGTTTAACATGCTCCATATAGTGAAAATGCTGGTGTGGCCATATTCAACATGTAATAAAAATAAAATCAGTATACTGCAAATTACTATGTGTGCATATTTTTGTGTGCACAGGATTATGATCTTCTTGGGGAAAAAATAATGTCTTGTGGGATGGATCACTCCCTGAAACTCTGGAGAATCAATTCAAAGAGAATGATAAATGCTATCAAGGAATCTTATGAATACAACCCAAATAAAACCAATAGGTAAATACAGTCTTGATTTTGTTTTTCCTCTCCTTCCCTCCTCCCTAGGTTTCTTTTTGAATGTTCTTAGCAGGGGCCTAGATCATCTCTCAGTAAAAAAAATAGTGTGGGAGTTCCCTTGACTTAAGAGTTGTATTGAACTCCAAATCATTTTGTTTTATCCTGCTGAAACTTGGTGGCAATAGTGTTTTGGTTAGTTACAGATCTTGTCACTGTGTTTAGCTCATTCCACTTCTTTCCTCTCGACTTTACCATAGAATTAACTGCTTAACTTTGGAAATACAGTTTTTATCAGTTATTAAAACGGTGCATATATCACTATATTTTAATACATGTCATAGCCATCCCTTCTGCAACCTTTAGAGTTGGATAACTTTGGGCCTTGTGCCTCTGTTGTGACACCGGTGCAACCTGAAGATCCAGACAGATCTTGACTGGCCATGCAGCCTCCTAAAAATACTTTTCCGTTTTCTTTGCCACGCTTTGATCTTACTTTTTGATTTGGATCGTAGCCCTCAAATTGCCAGAGTGACACTTCAGGTGCCTTTTTCTGCCCTGCTCATCACAGAGCTCCTCTGTCTGACCCAATCAATCACTCCAGGGCCTCAGTTTAGCTGGCTACGGCCAGGTTGCCCCTAATTAAGCTCAGTCTTTCTCCTGGGCTAAACTCGGCTGCTCCTGGATTCCAAGCAAGTTCAGTCTCATTCCCTTGGGCCTTGGCCTGCCCCAGATCCCTAGAACACCCAGTGTCCTCAATGCCAGGTGCCCACAGGGTCCTCACTACTCCCCTGTTAGCCACCCTGTGCCTTGCAGCTTAAACAGACAAAACCATCAACAAAAGGTACTCAAAACCTCCCTGTAACTCATGCAGCCCTTTCTTCAGGTCTTTCTCTTCTGTTGCTGGCTAACGCCAGTCTAAGCCCCTATGGGCCTACTCATTGTAACTTGCCTCTTAACAGTGTTTCAGGGAGCTCCACTTGGCTACAATGCCTTGGCCAGATGCCTGACTGTTGTGGAGCTGTGCCCCTTCCAGCCACTGCACTCTCTCCCCATTAATGGGGCATTACCTAATTAATCTTCCTGAACCCCTGCAGCTCGCACAGCATGGGGGGTTAGGGACCCGTGTTACAATAACAAATGCAGGTAACAGATAAAGCCATATAGTAATCGGGTAATAAAAAATAAGGTTGTGAAATCTACCTTTTGATAACTATTAGCTGACTTATGGTAAAACAGTTCATAGTTTTTAACTTTTTCTGTGAGTTTAATCTATTAAAAGTGAAATTCTCTCTTGTGTTTCTGGATCTGACATGTCAGTTTTCCCCACAGGCCCTTTATTTCTCAGAAAATTCACTTTCCTGACTTTTCTACCAGAGACATACATAGAAACTATGTTGACTGTGTACGATGGTTAGGAGATCTAATACTTTCCAAGGTAAGGTGCTTGCTGTTCAACCATGTTGCTTAAAGTTATTTTATTTTTAAGATGTTTGTTTGCTTTTTTGGGTAGAAGTGGCTGTTAAGTTAACTTACTGTGCCATGTGATGTACCTTTCCTAAACAGTGGCAAATAGTTGAATTCAGGTGCTTTATGTATAGGCATTTTGTGTGTCAAATCTGGAATTCTTCTAAGCATAGTTCTGATAAAGACATGTTAAAAGTAATACTGGTTTTTGGATGCAATATTCAGAGGAAGACTTTCTCTTTTCTGGGATAGTATGCTAGATCTTGCAACCTGAGGGAGAAATTAAATACATTTGAATCGAAAGGTCTATGGGATGCCTCCTTGTATCCAGTAGAAACATTTCCCCTGTAGAAAACCAGGGATTAAGGCCCTGGTTTTCAAGTCTGCTCAGAGACTTGAAAACAAGTTAGCATCTTTTTAATAAGGACAGAGTTTAAAATGGTGCTAACTTGTCTTCAGATCTGTGCATAGATGGAATGAAAACTCCCTTGTTATGTTTAAGTTGTCAGAGCGCACTTCATTTTCATACTTAAAGAGGTGCCCTTTTTCATTGAAGGTTATTGGCAAGTACTCTGGGAGCCGTATGACATATTAGGAGGGTATGGACAAGACATTTGGGTAGAGAACTATGATATCATATGATGTCCTCATGTAATGGAGGATGGGTCTAGAGGAGAAGTTTGGTTAACATTTATAGTTCAAAACAAAGGAAAGTACTTTTATGGCTTATATTGCAAGTGATATCTTTTTCACCTCTCTCTTTTGACAGTCTTGTGAAAATGCCATTGTGTGCTGGAAACCTGGCAAAATGGAGGATGATATAGATAAAATCAAGCCTAGTGAGTCAAATGTGACCATACTAGGGCGATTTGATTACAGTCAGTGTGATATCTGGTATATGAGGTTTTCAATGGATTTCTGGCAAAAGGTAAGCGTGAGCTTTGAAATAACTCTTCATCTGTTTGGTTTAGAGAAGGGCAAATGAGGAATTTTTGCTTGGCTCGCATGAACTAATGTGATACTAAAAGTAGCTTGGTACTAAGACGTGAACATTCCAGATCTATCCTGGCTCCTCATTGGGAGCCTTGTGGAAGATTTCCATCGACATTCATCTCCATTTTATGCATAGTGGAATGGGTAAATTAATTGTATGCGGTGTGAAAATGTAATAGTTCTAGAATGACTTGAGAATATATGAAATAGTGCATGTGTGTTAACTGTTGCCAGTCCTACAGTCTTTGTAAAATCCTCGTTTCCATTTGTGGTAATTGCCATGCTCTTTCTCTTGTTTCAAAGATGCTTGCTTTGGGCAATCAAGTTGGCAAACTTTATGTTTGGGATTTAGAAATAGAAGATCCTCATAAAGCCAAGTGAGTATAAATTTTACTTCCCCAGATTGTCCTTTAAAATCAGTATGTGGAGGAAGGTCATAGAAATTAAGGGCTGGTAAGGACCTCAAAAGATAGAGTCCAACCGCCCTGCTCTAGGCAGGAATACTGCTGAGATCAAATGATCCCAGCAAGTTGTCTGTCCAGTCTCCTCTTGAAGACTACCAAGGTTGGGAACTGCACCACCTCCTTGGGAAGTCTAGTCCAGATTCTGGTCACCCTTACTGTAAATAAGTTCTTCCTTACATCCAACCTGAAACCATCCTCTAACAGTTTATGGCCATTGCTCCTTGTCCTACCCGGGAGTGCCCTAGTGAACAAGTTTTTTTTTTTCTCCCAGCTCTCAATATTCACCCCTTACATACTTATAGACAGCCACCAAGTCCCCCCTCAGTCTTCTCTTCCCCAGGCTGAACAGTCCCAGATCCCTTAGTCTTTCCTGATATGGCTTGTCCGCCAGGCCCTTAATCACTCTTGTGGCACTTCTCTGGACCCTTTCAAGATTCTCCACATCTTTTTTTGAAGTGCAGCACCCAGAACTGGACATAGTACTCCAGCTGGGGTCTTGCCAGTGCCAAGTAGTGAGGAAGTATCACTTCCTTAGCCCTGCTCGCGACACATCGGCTAATGCATCCCACTATGCTATTAGCTCTGTTGATTACAACGTCGCACTAGTGGCTCATGTTCATCCTGTGATCAACCATAATCCTGAGGTCCGTTTCAGCCACTGTACTGGCCAGGACATCTCCTCCTAACCTATATTCATGCTGCCAGTTACTTCTCTCCAGATGAAGCACTGCATTTATCCTTATTGAACTGCATCTGGTTCCGCTCTGCCCACTTTTTCAGCTTGTCCAGGTCCACTTGGATCTACATCCTATCCTCTAGCATGACCACTTTTCCCTGTAACTTAGTATTGTCTGCAAACTTGGCCAGCACACTTTCCACATCCTCTTCTAAGTCGTTGATAAAGATGCTGAACAGCATGGGAACAAGAACCAAACCCTGTGGGACACCACTGGCCACCTCTTGCCAAGACAATACAGACCCATCCACTAACACTCTGGGTTCAACCCCTTAGCCAGTTCCCAACCCAGCAGACAGTGGACTCTATCAGCCCACAATCCCCCTTTTTTAAATCCAGGTATATTGACAGAAAAAGAAACTGCTGAGTTAGGTAGCAGCACCTTCAGCTCTAATTTCTGTGGTAAAGGAATGGGTTAAAATTAACATTGTCTTTATTATTTGTAGTACAGTAATGCCCAGAGACCTTAACTGGGTTGAAGCTGCAATGTGCTGGATGCTGTAGGTAGATGCAGTACAAGAAATGTCTCCTGTAAAAACTGATTAAGAGAAGAGTGTACAAAGTTAAGAAGAGTAGGGGTTAGCAACTAATGGAGTAGAGAGAAGGAAAGGACTGTGGTCACAGTAACTCAGAGTTACATAGGTTAGCTACATGCTACACTTTATGGGGGGTTAAATATTAACTTCCAGTTGTCTACTGGCTTAACCCAAGTGACCTACTGCAGATAGGTAAGGAGATAAAACTTCTGACAGATTCCTGTTTTTCTGTCCAGCTTTTCATTTGTCCAATATCAGGACTCCAGAATGCAATAGCAAATGCAGACTTAACTCTGCATCTAAATGAATTTCTTTTACTTGCAGGTGTACAACACTTACTCATCCCAAATGTGTTGCTGCCATTCGACAAACCAGTTTTAGCAGGGATAGCAGTATCCTTATAGCTGTGTGTGATGATGCCAGTATCTGGCGCTGGGACAGACTACGATAAGTCAGTTTTTCCTAAAATTTAGAAAATATATTGTCAGGTTACAATATAATCTGTTAACTTGCTAGATCTGTAGTTGCATTTAAAATAGTCTTTCTCCCTCCCATGTTCAGTTGGGTGGAGCTGAACTTAGAGATGTTTACATTCTTTGTACTGTGTTCTGCTCAGAGTCTGTTGCTTTTAATAAAAAACAAATATTTTTGTAAAGCTTTCTGTGTCAGTGACTTCAATTATTTACTTGAAGCTAATCTGTTAATATCCTCTGATTTATAAAGTTGTTTTGTATCTAGCTGGTATATACCACGTGGTAACCTTTTGCTAGGAATTTTAGCAGCATAAGATTGCAGGCTTATGTAGGTTTTTGTTTAAAAAAGCAGGTTATATTTCCAAGGGACTACATTAAGGTATAATTACACATGGAAATGTAAATTACATTAAAAACTCTGCTAAAAATATTTTGAACTCATTCCTTTCTCTATATTGCTTACACATTTAATTGTTAAAACCCAGTGGCTTTTACAGCCTGACTGTACTTTTCACCATTTATACTGTTTTTTTGCATGAGGCATTTCAGTTGGCTGGGTAGTAGGAAAAAAAGATAAATTATTTCAGTCTTCTGATTCTGGTGAACGAACTCAATGTTGCAGTGTTCAGATTTTGCAGTGGAATATCTTAATCTAAATTGTTGCTGGCAATTTTAAAGATGTGTATTAGATTTTTTTTGTAAAATGTTCTCCTTCTGACCTCCTCCTGCATAAAAATAATAAAAATTGCAAGCTTTCTTTGTGATGGTGTCCCTTCAAAGGTTCAGATTGTGTAAGACCAAATCAAGCATATTTACTTTAAAAATAGTAATTTCTAACATACAGTATGGTATTTAAAAAGTTATATAGCTAATTGAGAATGAAAAGAGAATACTGACCAAGATATTAGCCATGTTATTACCAGTGGTAACTTTTTTTGCCAAATCACATTTGTCCATATTCCACTTTTGGTGCCGTACAGTTCAAATCCATTAGTGTTTATCTCATACTAATGATCAAAGATGATGCAAAATAGTCAACCAAGTACTCTGAATAAAAAGATATTAATCAGAATTGCTGTCAGAACCATTTTTCTCAATTCGTTCTCTCTCAACCTTTTCTCCTTAGCCGCTCCTGAAATGTATACAACTCAAGGGGGTGGTACTGGGGTATAGTATAAGCATAAATACAACCATGCCATCCTTGGCCAGCAGCATTTTTTGATCTAACTAGCTAGGTCAAAATTTGTCCTTTATTCAATGTTTGTCGTCTTTTCTGCATAAAGAGATCCATGTAATTTATTTTATGCCAGGGGTTCTCAATCCCTGGCTGTGGCCTGGTGCCTGGAAGTGGCTGCAGCCCAGCAAACCACAGCCCCTCCCGAGCCAGGTGGAGAGGCCATGGCTCCTTCTACAGGGCGTGCAGCAGTGCAGGGTTTGCCCCCCTCCGCCCGGGGGGGTCAGGGTATCTTTACCTGTCTTCTGACCGGAAATTTGGCCGTGGTTTGCCTGGACACAGCCACTTCCAGGGTGTGGTTTGCTGGGCCTCAGCATAAAAACTTTGGGAACCCCTGTTTTACACAATCCTGCAAATTTTCAGATACTGTACTTTTTACAAATTCCACCTGTCTAGTGAATAATGACTAAACTAAGAAAATTCTGAAATGTTTCTTCTGAAGAGGTCTTCTAATTTTCACAGGCACCAAAGAAGAATAGATCTAGGACTTGGAAGCTAGAGAACAAAATGTTCACTATCCAAATTCCTGTGTATCCTAACTAGTGGTATGGAGGAAACCTGAGAAATATTAAATTGTTTATAGAATATTAAATTGACAATTGCAAATAGTAAAGGCAAAATAATTTTTCATTAGGCAGGGTTATGTGAAATATAAGTATGGCAAAGACTTTTGTTACTGAAAGCTTAGAATTTCGATAAAGGGACAGGAAAAATAGTGGAAGTTTCAGATATAACATGGCCTATTTGCGGGATGGCAGTGATGGGTAGTGGTTGTATAAGAGAATTTGTATTTGTTGACGTACTGGAAGCCAAGTAATTTTAAATGATACAGACAGAATGAAGTAGGAAAGGGTAGTGACTTGCAATTGGAGTCTCTGATTTGAAGTGCTTTCTGGCAGTTTATCGGATTTTACTTACCAGTGTTTGAACTGCCTGAGATTTAACTGTGCCATTTAAGGTCTGTATTGCTTATTATGATTCATTGTTCTTTGAATTTACCAAAACCACACCGAATTTTTAATGTGGCCTTAAAAATATTTTTTGAAGAGTCTTTAAATTTGTTGTTCTTGTGGCTTTCAGGGCTCGAAAAATAAAGTTATTTTGCTTTTTGTTTTTTTTTTAATCTGAGCTAATTCTGACCAAACCAAGTAAAGATAAATGGCGTAAATACTTAATTAAAATAAAAGGGGAAAATAATGCAATTGGCAACTGAAACTATATTGCCAATGCAAGGCTGTCAGGATTCAATATTGAATTTAGCGGTGTTCTGGACCATTTCTGGTTTGTACTGTGTGCTTTTTGCTGAGAGATGCCTAGCAAGCTAGCCATTGTAGCTGTTTTGCAACAGAAGTTCAATAGGAGCTTGAGAGGATAGAGCAATTTTTAAGAAAATAGTTATTTCTTTTGCTTCGTGGGTATTTTTGTAATCCATGAGATAAGTTCATCATACATAACACTGAAAAGTTATCTAAGTAATAGTACACATGCTAAAAAAATCATGGCAAAAACTTAAAAAATGTGGAAGTGGGCCCTATTCTCCTCAACACTACTAGCCTGTGTTAGGCAAACCTTTGGTTGTGTGCTGGGTTTCCTGTAAACTGCGGGTGTGGAGCACAGCGGAGGCACCGGGGCCGGCACCGGACACTTGCCAACAGTAAGCTCCTCCTCCGCTCCATTTCCTCACTCAGCAGGACGGCTTCTCCCTGAGCGCAGGTTCTGCCGGCTCCAGGGAACTGCTCTGCTCCCCAGCCCCTTTGGGCGAGCTCCTGTATAAAGTGGAGTCCTTCACTGTGGACATATGCATATGAGAAGTGTGTGCAAATTCCTACTAAGGAATATGCTATAACACAATAGCTTCTCAATAAAGTATTCAGTATACGGTCTGACACTATTGGAGCCACTGCTTCCTTGCAGTGAGAGGAGAGAGGCCAATCAGCAGCTGAAGGCAAAACCTTCAGTGAACAGAAAAAACTTGGAAAGCAACAATCCTTAAGGAGATTTAGGGGTAAGAGTGGATAGTTAAGTAGGAGTTTACAGTGTAACCTGGCAGCAGGCTACTGTCATGCTGGGATACAATGTGTCTTCTTTCTGTAAGTTAGCTATTGAGCTTCAGTTACCTGCTTTTGTGCTGTTTTGGTTGCAAAACACTGTGCTTGGTCTCCCTGCAGTTTATGGGCATATACAGAGAAACGCACTAACTTGGCTAAATTGCATCCAGTTTAGGCACTAGCTTGGTTAAAGTGGGCATGATTCTACCATGCAACATATAGTGTTGCTTTTTCTGTCATTCTAGGAAGACCAATATCTTTGCTGCAGCCTCCGTAAAGGATCATCTTTATATTCATTGCACACAGACCCATCCCCTTAGTAAGGGGCCCTTAGAAGATGCAGTAAGTTAAATCCTTAAATTTTACAAAGTTATACTGTGTGCAAACAAGTGGCATGCACCGAAAGGGGGAGGTGGGAGGCGGGACGAATTTGGGAATGGAACGAAGCAGCGTGCTCATGGACGGAAGTGGCATGATCACGGATCACTACACCTTAGAGGGAACGTTGGGTAGGGGAGGCTGGGGCCAGCAAGTGCTGGCTCCAGCAGCCTTACCTGGGGGCCTTGGGGAGCTGCAGCTGGAAGCCTACCAGCCAAGCTCTGGTTTTGGGTGGTGAGTACTGTTGCCACATGCACCACCTCGCTTTTATTTTTGGCATGGGTTTGTTTGACCCTGGGATCTCCCAGGGTTGAAAACCCCCTGGTGCTGCAAAATAGCAGGATGGGGAATGCCCGCATACGCAGTGGGTGTGCAGTGCTGCAGGCAGGTGTGTGGCCGTGCTCGTCTGGATGCTGCCTTGGGGTTTTTTTTTTTGTTTTTTGTTTTTGTTTCTTGGTTGATTTTAGTTTAGTTTTGTGCTAAGCCGAACAGGTTCAGCTGTTTGCTTCCAAGAAAAGGAAAAGAGGCAATGCATGTTATAAATAAATCATTGCGAAAACTTTAAAAATTCTGAAGTGGGCCCCATTCTCCTCAACATCACTAGAGTGTGCAGGGGAACCTTTGGTTTTGTGCTAGGGCAATTCCTTATTTCAGGATACTGATGAAAGAAGGGGGAGAAAGATGGAAACCTTTTAAGCTCTAGCATCTTCAGGTATTGGAGCTAGGGGCTTACAGTTGTGGAGGAAGTGGGTCTTGGCAGAGGCACATCTTTTGTTATCCACCTGAAATCTTACCAAATTTGGCTCAGGTACAAGCCCGTGAAACTGAAGCAGTTTCTGCCTACTATGTAGCAACCTTTTTTTAAAAACAGCCCCAAGTGCCAAAGCTTGTCTTTTCACTCAGGGGTATATATAACCCAGTACTTCTCAACCTTTTAGATTGGGGGCACCCTCTAAAAATACCAGCTCTTTAGTTTTCATTTGTTTTTTGACTACAAAAAAAATAAAAATAAAGCAATTCAGTTGCAAAGAAGTGGGAAGGGCTGCAGGAGGTCAGCATTAGCAGGACCCATTCCTGTTTGAAATCTGTGGGTTGATCTTTTGAAGCATGTTTGCACACCTAAGGACACCCTCTCACCTCCAAAGGCTCACAGCACCCTGTTTTTCTGCAGATCTAGACCAGCATTTCTCAACCCTGGGGTCACAAGAATAGGTTGCACACAAACTTTAAAAGTGGATTCTTCTATACAGGAGGAAAAAACCTGGGAAACTGTGGCTTTCCCCTTGCAGGCTTCCAGCGCTCCAGCTTACCACCAGCAACTTGAGCCCCCCACACTGCGGGGGTGGGGGAAAGGGGCATGGTTCAGGAGTGAGGGGCAATAGTAGGGCCAGGGGGTTGTTTTCTACCTAAATTATTTACTGGGTTGGGACTAGGCGTGCCAACTCTGACAGAAGCTAGTCCAGATTCCCCCCCCCCCC